AGTGGAGACTCAGCCCTCAGCTCCCACAGAACTATATACCAATAATATTTTTTTGTTTCTCTGTTGTGTGAGGAGAGGAGGGAGGAACTTTGGGCTAGGTCCAGCCTCAATCTTGGCATTTTGGTCTGGATCAATGGGAGTGAAAGTCATAACACACACAACGACACCACACACACACACACACATATAGATACCTATGAAATGTATATGTGACTCATTAAAAAGGGTGAGAGGTAACTGAAGAATAAAACAGTTACAGGAGGTTTTGAGGTCTCTTTTTTAACCCTCTAAAAGCCAACAGGCATTAAATCGATCTAAAATAAAGACTACAATAGCTAAAGTGCTCATTTTGTTGAGCTAGAGCTGATTGGTGCAGGTGGAGAAGAGCGGAAAATAGAGCAGAAATACAGAATACTACAGAAATATATATTTTTTCATGTTTCTACATTTAGAAATCTTTTGAATTCTTGTTTTTATTTAATAAAATGTGATGAAAAAACATGTCAAATATTTGTATTTTTTTATATTTATGACTCAATTTCAATAGTTTTCTTTCAATTATTATGATTTATTGACTTGTATAACCTTTTAGCTTAGGTTGTACAGATTTTAAGGGATATCTATCATTTCAAAGATACTCTGAGAAATGACATAATAAGCAAAAATACTAATGTAGGCAGTGGCGGATCATTTCTATAGCAGAGTTCAAAGGGTTAAGCTAATTAAACAGATAAATCAATTCTTTGTCCTGACGTGTGAACTGTTATTGGCAAATATAAGTGGATACGACAGACGCAGACACTATGAGTCCAAGGATACGATGGCCTTCATTCCTGGAGGCCTTTCTCTCGAGAAAGTGAAGCATGAAACACTTCCAATCAAAGCATAACATAGTGTAAATTCCACATTTGTGCAGCTAATTCTGCCCATCAGTCACATATTCACAGTGGAGCCCTCGAACACAGTCGGAATAGTTTTCCTAGATATGGTATGTTTTCCTGATCGTCTTTTCGAGCTTTTTAAGAAGGAGGTTGCATGAATGAAAGAGGGAACCTGTGTTTGCACGGCCGCCACTGATGGAAAACAATGAAAAAAACTTATTTTGACACAAAGAGGAAAAATGGCTCAAGTGGCTCCAGCTGTTCCCCTTTTACCTCAGGAGCAACATGACTGCAGTTTGAGAAGGAAAAGGAAGGAAATTCCTCCGTAGGATGTACAGTTTGTCATTAACAGTTACTTTAATCAGAGTATGCACAGCTGCATTTAAAAATATGACTGAAATATTCATTTTCATTAGCCATGAAAACAGAATTTTTTTTCAAAATAAGAGCAAAAACTAGAATATTTTGTGAATTTTAATGACATGTATTTCCTCTGGAGTCATTTAATTCACATATAGGATAAGCTCTTGCAAGTTCTCTTCTTACATTTTTTATTTGTATTAATTAATTAGCAACAGTGACCTACTCTCTCACACACACACACACACACACACACAGATGTTTCAGGGTCAACCTTCCTCAATCTGTGTGTTAGACAAGCCAACAGAAACATGTTTAAATTGGTAAAACTACAGTTTATTGCAGCTTTTGTTGCTCCGACCATTGATTCTATTGGTTGTTATAAGATTTTACCTGCCAAGGTAAGTAGAGCAACAAAAACGAGCAGTCAGACAATCAGACAGGTTGAAAACAAACCCCCAAGTTGGTCAAAGATATATGGAAGATAGTGTTATTATCATACGGTAAACCTAGTTTAATCAGACTCTCTTCCTGCTTCAACCTACTATACTTACATTTAAGGACATATTTAATGACACTTCTAGGGGCTGACTAACTCTAAAGACACGACGGGGAAAAGTACATGCTATCCCAGCAACATAACGGCTACAAAAAGCCCATAATGCAACACTCTTAATGTAACAAGTTCACCCTGTAATGCAGAGACTAGACCTCGCTCAATTCAACAAAAAACATCTGCTGAATACCTGCGTATCTGGTCCTTGAATATATAATAATACATAACACCCAGAATAACGTCTTATACTCGGGCCGATACATTATTTTTAGAGGTATTTAAGTGATTTTAGTCGTGAGAAGCCGGACCACTGCACAAACCAGAGGTGTTTCTTACCTTGTAGGCCAACACCTTCTCCCTGAACGGTCGACAGAAGTACAGAGCCTGCAGCACCGAGTTACAGTAGCAGGTGTTGCCGAACTAGAAAAAAGAAAGAGAGACGGAGAATGAGAGACACGGAGGGAAAGAGGGCTGCGTCTCCGACTTGGGAGCTAATAAGGCAGCAGAATGTGTGTTCTCGACTGACACTTACGTTGACCAGTCCAAAGTAGTGTTCATTAACGGGAAACTGTTCCGGTCCAATCTCCTTTTCCAAGGCAGAGGCATTGGCGCCCTGGAGGGAAAAAAAGGAGAGGAGACATATTTAATGGATATTCTGGGTATTTTTCACATGATTTAACATATCTTCTGTGTACAAATGCATCTGCAACGACTAGATATACCATATTTTTGAGATAGAAATGTATTGTGGTGAATATATCCTGATTATCCTTACGTGACTTGACTAGAAAAAGCTGTCTAGCTCGCCAGCATACAGTCCTATATTGATTGCCTGATCTACTTTGAACAAGAGGACAAGTGGGACAAGCCTGTATCTTTCCACTCATACCAAAATCCTGAGTGTGTGGACACAATAAAGAACAACAGGCAGACGAGGTGTCTATCTGTGTTGCAAAGAATATGTAAATTAAAGTGATTCCAGTGTGTTTTAGTGTAGTATCATGAAATATTCATATCGTCCCACGCCGAGGGATGACAAAGTGGCTAAATAAATATTTCCTATACATATTTGATGTTAATTATCATAAAATGATCCATCATAAGCCCTCCTTTGTCCTCCACTTCCCTCCTCATTGTTTTCTGTTTTCCTGCTCCATTTTCTCTCTGCTCTGCTGGACTGTCAGCCGTCTGTTCGCTGCAGCTGGGTTTCCTGCTTCGTTTCCTCCGTTTCCACTTTCCCCATTTTCTCCCTGTTAGTCTCATTACTTGTTGGAATATATTTCAAAACCTTTAATAATTAAATGGCATCTTTGTGTTACAAGGCGCTGCGGAAATATCTAAAAAGAAAACTGGCTCGTCTCACCACATTATCTGCATTTTTACTTCAGGGTTATGAAGAATATATCCTTAAGCTGTGACGGTTTATCATTACATGTAAACTGCACGGCTTTTTAGATTGACGGTACTGTTGAGTCATGTTACATTTAGGGGTAAATTGTAAAGGAGTTGACTTATACCAGATATAGCTCGCTGTTCTGACATGCGGGCAGTGCATGAGTTATTAAAAAACCACTTCCTGATGTTTTAGACTTCCAAGCAGTGCCCAAAAGTCCCCTCTCGTGACTCAGCTGTGGACGCAGTTCACTTTAAAGACATCAACAACAATCTGAGAGCAGATTTGATGACATGAAGGCACTTAAGATTTTCATTGTACGTACAAACCACGGTGTTTCTTACTGTACATATGATAATGAACCTGGTGGGACAACAACAACATGGACTGTGCCTTTATTAGTGAATAACTGTGTTTGTTGTACATTTTAAAAAGAAAACTTTCAAGCACCGTTAGGGGGTTAGGCAATTAGACGAATATATCGGCTGCTGGCGGGTATTTTTGGTCAATTTTGGGCGATTTTTGGCATTTTATTTTGCTGTTTTAATGGTCTGCCTCCGAAGAACCAGAGCTGCTGCCTGGCGACGCAGGACGCACACTGAGCCGAAGAACTAGTGAGAGGAAAAACAGCTCCAGAGGAACAATATTTTAACATCTAACTGCGGTCAATTGAGGTTTTTATTTCGGGCTAGTTTGACAACAGGGAATACAGTAACAAGGAGATTCACAGAGGGTCAAACTAGGACTCTGACTCCGGGTAAGATGAGGACACGGTGGGGAGCGAGAGGACATGAATGATCATTTTAACATATCGGCCAACTATTAGAACAAACTAGAAAAGATGTTGCGCCAAAACAAAGTCTTTTAGATATGAATCGGGAAAAACTGTGGCTCAAATAAAGTTCAGTACGAGTTTGAGCTTGTAAAATTACACCAAAAGTTAAAAAAAACCTAAACCTGTGATCGTGTATTTCCTTCTGCAAACAACAGATAAAAAACTGCATGAGAAATTAAAGTTGGTGAGCGTGTAGAAAGGGAAGAAATGATGGAATAAAACTAAACTAAACTTATTCCCAACATACATCAACGGTGAGATGACACCAAAGCTGTGAGAGAAAAAAAAAAAAGAGCGAATTTGTGAGCAAACAGAAACCGAGTTCCCACACTGCGTACGACACCGAAATCACACATGTGCACGTAAACATTCGTTATAAGTTCAGATTTGGGCTTTTGATCTCACAACCGAAAGCAGGGCTTGGGGATTTTTTTCAAGACGCGACAACAATTCAAATTAAAATAACGTCTAGACTGAAACCACGGATCACCTAGCACCAAAAAAAACTTATGTTATTGTGCCTTTTGATGTTTTACATGAACTAAACTCAACAGTTTCTGCATCCAAAACATGAATTTCACTGTATGAAGCAGCAAGAGTGGTTGTGATTCACTGTTAAAACTGTAGCTGTCCACATTGATCGGTCTTCCTGGTAAATGGCTGACTCATAAATATGTGTCATCTTGACCAAAACGAGTCTGTCATCGTAAAAAGCTGCGAAATCAGTGAAACCACTCTCGTTTCCGGATGCCATTTGGTCTGAGCTTCTACAAATCACGTCTTATACTGAGGCAGGAGAGAAAGAGAGAGAGAAAGAGGAGCGAGACGATGGTGATGATAATGATGATGCAGCTTTTCCTTCAGGGGTGAACGACTACATGAGTGGAGGCGCGCCGCTCGTTGCTCATCATCACAACGCCGCCCGCGTAAAGCCGGTGGTAAACAAAAGCTGCGAGGTCGGTAGAGGAAGGCGAATAAGTGTCGAAAAAAAGAGGAGAGGAGATGGATTTGTTCGACGTGCGCTGTAAACACACGCTTCTTCTTCATTCACGGTGTGAAGTGGCGTGTTTGAAATGAAAGACAGCAGCTTCACGTCGAGCAGAAGTGATTTTATTTGACATTGAACTCACCTGCACGTGCGTTTGATCAAGTTTGATCATTAACGGCGGGGGTTTGTGCTGCGTGGAGAAATGAGAATACGACTCGCAGAAACAGACTTTACGCTCAGAAGATCGCCGCGAGTCAGTTCCACTTTGCATCCGGCAAACCTGCTTTGAACTGCGATACAGTTTCACCTACCGACAGAGGAAACTCAAAGTAAATACACGAGTTTACGTAGGTGGTCGTAGGAGTGAGGGGCCGAAACACTCGTTTTTTCAGGACAAAGTAGATTATTTCCAGCATATTTGACCATTTGAATCCATTTTTTTTAGGTGTTTTTTATGACTGAACCCTGAAAAACAACAACTATCTCTGCCGGTCTGACTGTTTCTGACTGATGTGCTGCCCACTTTACTCACCGCCTTTCACGATTTCACCCACAAAAATGGATTTTCTGGAAAAAACAAAAACACCTTCCGGGGCTGCAAACACACTGAACAAACCCGGCGGACACAGCTAACATCGACCCGTGTTAGTATTTGTCCGGTGCGTGCTGGGTGATTTGCCACGAGTGTGCAGTCAGAAGTTAATCTTCCAGCTTTAAGCTCCCGCTGTCTGCCTGTACGGCTCGAAATAAACAAAGACAGAGCGGTATTCAAAACGCGAGAGAGCAAATAAAGAGGTGTCGGACCCTCTTTAACCTTGACCCCCCTCCTGTTACAACCTACCAAACAGGTTGACACTGACCTCTGACCTCCCCAGAGGTTCTTAAGAGCAGGCGACAGCTTTAAGATTTCATTATTTAAAAGGTGTTAAATGTTTGCTAAATACACAGCAGGGGGGGCTTTTTTTTTTTTTTTTTCAAACCACAGGTGATCGACAATGAGGAAACTCTTTAACTTTGAGTGTTTATATTATATTTACCCTCAAAAATAACCAGTGAAAGAGAAAGAGCGTTTTATTTTGGAGAAGCAGAAGTGTAACTCAGGGTGTTTATTTTTTATCTTTTACTAATTGTGTGTGCTTTTTTTGGGTGTGTATCGTCTTTCATGTGATATATATATATATATATATATATAAAAAGGAGACGCACCCACTCTGTATATAAAGTATGCATTACATTCTTCTGCTGCACAGTTTTCTCTTCTTATCTGTATCTAAATCTTTATATTATCTGAATCCAAGGTAACTCTGTGTGCCTCCAACCCAAAACCTGCAGATGAAACTACCATTGCTGTAACTAAACTCTGGCAACATTTAAGACAAGACAGAACAGATAGATAGTCCCGTTTTATTGCACCCACCCATGGGCAATTAAACACTATGTAATCACAGTAAAACAACACAACGACAAGACAGACAGCAGCAGCACACACTAACGCAGTGGACTCCATCAAAGTGCATTGTGTCCTTTTTATCATATATAACGTAATAAACAGGACCCCAGCTGGGGTTTAAAGAGGGCAAACAACTTTTACCCCAACACCCCCCCCCCCAACTGCAATTCAGGGCCTAGCTGCGCTCGCCCTGTCTCCGCAATAAACAAAAACCCAACTTAAACAACAAACACACAACACAAACAAAAAAGCAAGCTCAGTTCGTGATTACACAGCCCGACACCGAATATACGTCACGAACGTTTCCCTGAAACAAAAGGGGGACAGTCCTGTGTGTTATTGCCAATGTTGCCGCTGTTAGCAACAGCAGGCTAGCCTGCCGAGGAGCTAGGTTTACCGCCCCCCCCCCCCCCTCTCCCTTACCCTACCTTACCAGGACGGGAAAGAGCGAAGCGTACGAGGTACAAGCGCGGTAAAAAAGAAGCCGAGGTCGGCGCTTACCATCGTACAAATCGAAATGGCGATCTTTCGGACTGTCATCAATATGTTCGCATCCGTAAGCCTCCCATGCTCAGGACCTGAACCCCCCGGTGTTTGAGGAAAAACGGAGCGAGAAAGGCTGCAAAAGAGTTCCGAGGAGAGCTTTCTGCCGCCCCCAGCCCTCCCCCCCAGTGTGGTGTGTGTGTGTTGTGTGTGTGGTGATGGTGTGTGTGTGTGTGTGTGTGGTGTGGGGGTAGTGGCTGGTGAAGATGCGGGCAGAAGTGATGTTGCGCCGCTTCCGGTTTTGGATTTCAAAAGTAAATTAAGGGGTCGAAATGAATAAAAAAAAGAAAAAAAAAACAGAACAAAGAAGCAGAGAAAATTTCTTAAAAATATTGACTTAGATCTCCAAAATAATGAAGAACTTTTTTAAAATAATGAGAAACTCAAAATTAATGGAGCAAACACTCTCAAAATAATGAGAAACTTTCTTAAAATTAATGGGGGACGAAACTTTTTCTCAAAAATAATGAGAAACTTTCTAACAATAATTTGGGGAGAAACTTTCTCAACAATAATGGAGAAACTTTCTCAAAAATAATTGGAAGGAACTTTCTCATATATTTTGATCTCTTATATCTCAAAATAATGGGAGAAACTTTCAAAAATTAATGAGAAACCTTAAAATAATTTGAAGAAACCTCTTAATATTTTGATTTATTATCTCAAAATAAATTGAGAACTTTCTTAAAATAAATGAGAAACTTTCCAAAATAGATGGAAACTTTCTTATTTCTTAAAATAATGAGAAACTCTCAAAATAATGAGAAACTTTCTTAAAATATATTCCTTGTTGTTCTTATTGTTGCTCCAGTTCCTTAAGTTTGCAGTTGTCATATTGTCAACCTACAAATGTTTAAATGTTGTTGCTTTTTTCATTTTCTTTGCTTCTCTACTATTATACTATTATTATTTAAGCATATATGTGTATATACACTAACACTGTTGGGTCTGCAAGCTATTGTTCCCTGTTTGAGTTAGTAATTTGTTCAATACAGAGGAAACAAACAAACAAATAAATAAATAGTTTGACTAACTTGTTTGCTAGCTGACGGTAGAAAAGCTAATAATGTTGTTTAAAAAAACCTTCAAATAATAAATAGGCATTATTAATGGTTGTTAAACATCGCTAACGATGATTTCAAGCAGCATAACAGAAAAGAAGGAGAAAACAAAAACAAACAAATAAACAATACAAGCAAAAATCATCTAAAATATAGGTTAAATTAAATTAACTTAAAGGGGGTTTAATCAATATGTAACGCAAGTAATCCTGAGATTCTTAAGGTATTCCTCTTATCCATTTTTTTTAATGATTTAAAGTTGATTTTCAAGACATTTATACATTTATAAACTTTAAAAAAACACACTTAAGAATGTAAAATACACTTATAATCAAAATAGCCTTAATATAATATAAAATAGCCTAATATAACACAAAAATTCTACATTTTTGTATTGCTTAAAATACCAAACTTGTGTCCTCAGTTTCAAATTGGAGGGGTTTGGAAATTGGGGACTTTAAAATCCATTTACATTTAAAAGAAATATATATTATTAGTTTACATCAAACACTTAAACGCTTCTAAATTTAGAGGCACAAACACGCAAAGTCTTCCTCAAAATGTCCCAAATCCTTCACTTTATCTCATCTTTTCACCAACTCTCTCAGTTGAAACAGCAGATTCATTTAGTTGTTTTAAATGCCTCATGTTGTGTGTATGTTTTTTTCTATCACACTACAACAACATTATTTTATTTATTGATTTATTTGTTGTTGTTTTTGTTGTTGTATCTTATTTTGAATGTTAAACATGTTGCTTCCGACGTGTGTGCCAGCTGTGTGACTTTACCCAGCTTCCTCTCGTCCAGCCGGGGGAAGCTGTGAGGGAGTGTCGCCGACGCACAACTCAGATGCACTTCGGTTCGCTCGATCCCTCACACGGGGCTGGAGTGAGCGGGCGGTGCTTGTGCGGCGGTCGGGGTATGGGAAACCTTCTGTGCGGGGTCATTTTCAACTTTTATACAATGACAAAAAGGAGTGATCCGTGAAATGTGCTGAGTCTGTGTTTCATGGAGGAGAAGAGAGATTAAAAACAAACACCACCCGGATGAGTTGTAAGGAGGAACAAGAGAGGATAAATTACAGCAGTTTGACCTGATAGGCTTAGTTCATTATGGGAAAACAAGATTGTGTAACTCATTATAATGTGAAACTCTCAAAATAATGAGAAACTTTCTTAAAATAATGAGTTAGTATCTTCAAATAATGAGAAACTTTCTTAAAATAATGAGTTAGTATCTCAATATTTTGATTTGTTAACTCAAAATAATCAGAAAATGTCTCAAAATAACAAGAAACTTTCTCAAAATAATGAGGAACTTTCTCAAAATAATGAGAAACTCTCAAAATAATGAGAAACTCTTAAAATAATGAGAAACTTTCTCAATATTTTAATTTATTATCTCAAAATAATGAGAAACTTAATGCATAATATCATCAACAAAGTAATGATAATGTATTTTTATAGATTACTCTAGAAAATTAGTTTTTGCTATAATAATAATAATAATGCAAAAGTTCCCAACCTGGGGGTCACAAGGCTTTCTTTTAAGGGGTGGATGTTTATAAAAAATATACACAGTAGGACTAAATCTTTGCCATATTTCACACATTTCTGTGAAGAAAACAAAATAATGGTCATATTTAAAGTTCTGATTATTATTTTAGACAAACTTTGAAGACTGCATTCACAAAGCCTTCACTATCCCATAAACAGCCTCGTCCGGCAGTTAAAACAACCAAAGAACTAATAGAACAATGAGCAGAAAATACAGAATTTGTCCAAAAAGAAGTCTATTAAACGTGTATGATTGTTAAAAATCACATGTTTTACACAAACTTCCTGCAGTTATTACATTCACAATCTGGGTCCATTGTACATTTTTATCAGTTGTTTGTACTGTTATTGTTATGCAGTGAATATCATATGTTTGTTAGGTATGCATTAATATAATATTATTCTGAAATGGGCCTGATAGTGAATACTTTTACTTATACTTTAAGTGTATTTGGATGATAAAACTGTTGTATTATCTGCAAATCAACTGTCAATAAATGTAGAGGAGGGAAAACAACAATATTTCCCCTCAATACAAGTACCTTAAAACTGTACTTGAGTAAATGTACTTATTGCCTCTCCCACCACTGCACACTGTGAGTGAAACTAGACTTAGGGTGTAATAATATATTTAAATGAAGTTTTGTACAGTCTCATCATGGTCTAATGTGATTTGTCTCGCAGCTTTATTATTATAAAGCCTTAATTTCCTTGTTTATTGGCCCGAGAGGCTTAATTTTATCTGAGTAAAGGCTGGGAAGAGGAGCCCAATTTAGACTGGTCTCACGGGAATATTAGAGGGGATGGTTCAAAGTCTCCCTCCCTCTCCCTTCCCACCCTCCCTCCCTCCCTCTCCCTCTATCCGCAGTCAGAAGCATCTGGACTCACTGCGAACACTTCTTTGTGCACTTATTTATGCATCTCACACTAAAAGAGTGTTTTTAAGGGAGTGAAATGATGACTCCTCACTGCTGAAACATCCACGGAGGGGTTAAAACTTTTCCTAAACACTCTCAGTGGAAGAAAACTCCTGGACCCTGGAGCTGCAACACTTGGAAAAATATTTGGGAATTTTCTTTTTGGAGCTTTAACACAAAGGACAACCTACTTACTTTACATTTCCACAGACAGTATAAGCAAGAGTAAACCACCTCAGGAGATCCAGGGTGATTAATCTGCCCACGGCTGTCCCTGCAGGAACATTATGGGAATATTGGAGTGATTCTTTCTCGGGGCGGAGGGCTTTTGCTGGGCAGTGTTATTTCAGAGCAGAGCTGATCTGAAGGGCAGCAGGGGAAGCTAAATGCGGCTGACTGGCGACCCTGCACCGGGAACCATGAACAGCAGCAGCGGGTCTGGCAACTTTCTGCTGGTCCCCATACCGGAGTATCCCCTGCTGGACTGTGTGCCCAACAAGACGGTGAAGATTGTGGTGCTGGGGGCGAGCAACGTCGGGAAAACCGGTATGGACGCATTGGAGGAGTTATTATCACTCACAGGGAGGGAAAATGAGAATATTCTAACTGGATGAGGGAAGTTTTTTAAACACAAGCAGTGGCTGTGTAGGGATTGAACAGGGAGGCTGGGATCAGATGCATATTGACTGATAATAACTGATTGAACCAGCTCATTATGCAACTTGTTGTCAGGAATATCTTTGGTTATATATGTGGGAAATAGAGGTGGGAATATCGTCGTGTGCCTGAAGTGAAGTAGGTGGGAATGCATGAAATAAATAACTAATCCTGAACGACAGGGGGCGACATTTTGCATTCTAACTTTATGTATTTTCATTTTCAAATATTTGTGTATTGTGTGTATTTGTTTGGTTATTTTTGTTTATATTTAGCTTTTATTCACTAAATTCTTACTTACTTAAGTTAAAACAGAAATACCTCAATGTAAAAATACTCCATTACAACTAAAAGTCCTGCATTCAGAGTTTTACTTGAATGAAAATACAAAAATATGAACCACAAAATGTTTATATTTTGGATTATAATTATTATTGATGCATTGATTTGTTAGGTGTTTAAATTTAATCTGTAGATCTGTAGCACTCATCAGTTACTCATATGGTTTGTATGTTAAATCTTATCAATTAACTATAACTGGAGTAAAAAGTACAAAGTACCTCAAAATTATACTTAAATAAAGTACTCGAGTAAATGTAATTTGTTACTTTGCACCACCAAATGTAAGTTTTGGAGAGAGGGGTGGCCACCAGGCAGCAGTACAGAACTAGTGAACACTTTAAAGGACCAGTGTGTAGGGTTTAGTAGCATCTAGCAGTGTAATTGCAGATTGCAGATCCCTCACTTCACCCTCCTCTTTTAAGCGCAAAGCAGAAACTAAGAGGTCCTCAAAACACCTGTCCTGTCTAGAGTTAAGTGTCTGGTTTGTCTGTTCAGGGCTACTGTAGAAACATGGCGGCCTGCAACTGCGTGTTCATAAAAATATCTCTTTCGGTTCAGTTTCTGCCAAAAGATCCTCCTAAATGTTACACACTGGACCTTTAATGGTACAGAAAGAGACAAAAAGTAAACGTTTAATTATAATAAATATATATTATACAGGTATTTACATTTTTCGTTTATTGGTAAAAACAGAAGTAGTTGTAACCCTGATGTCATCTCCGCTTGGGCTTGGAGGCAACGTATATATAAGGTCTACATTACAAACTGGAGAAAGAAAGGCATAGCAGGGGATGGGGTTTAATGATGGTGTTAAGTTGCATTATGGGATATGTAGGGTTTCTGGAGCTTGACCCATACTAGGGACTAAAAGTATATCGACCTTTGCTGCTTTGATTCTGAACATTCCTCCTTTAAACTGTCTCTTGTGAGTTTATTAAAGTGCAGCACTAAAACGCTGCAGTGGCCCTTTAATGTGTTAAATCTGTGAAGTTATTCTTCAATACTTATTTTAAAAAGCTTTTACTTTGACAAAAGGCAGCAAGAGTTAGAAAAGCCTTGTCCAGAACCCCCTCAAAAATCATTTACCAGTATATGTTGACGCATGAGGGATTGCAACATCAGATTCTGAGTATTGGTGAATCATTTTCTTAGTTCAAACTTTGGGCCTGTTTGTTTAGCTCATCTCTCTGCTATGAAAGTCTTCAAAATCAAAAATATGTGTCACAGAAAAGGAAAATTCCACATGTTAGGAGCAAATGTTTAAGTGTTATATAGGTCAGTGGGTTGCAGCAGGTTAGTGAGTTTCTCTCTTTTTATTCAAAGTGCAGGAAGATGAAACAACAAACAGCAGCTTTGGACACATTTTATACTTAATGAACAGTATAGTACAGGTTTAGACATATGGCAAATACAATCTTGAGTTTGGCGTTTGCTTCCCCTTTGTAATTGCACTGTTTAAATTCATTTTCTGCCTCCCTAATTCAGAGTTTTCTTCTTTCTTTTCAGCTCTGATTGTCAGGTTTCTGACTAAAAGGTTCATCGGGGATTATGAAGCAAACACTGGTGAGTTCCTGTCCGTGTATCTGTAATAAGATAAGAAACAGCAGCAAAAATAAATGCATTCACTGACTGATTCCCTCTGCAAGAAGTCCTCTGCTATAGAAACCACCCCATTATCGATCCATTCATGCATCCATTCATTCATCCATCCACCTGTCTCTTTCGTTCTCCACAGGAGCGCTCTACTCCAGAAAGGTCACGCTGGATGGGGAGGAAGTGTCACTTCAGATCCAGGATACTCCCTGTGTCGCTCTCCAGGTAACTCATGGAGGCAGAGACACAGCAGTTATGTTTCCATCCCAGAGTTTTCGTGAGCATTATGAAGAGAACATCTGGATGGAAACAGCAAACACCCTCTGCTTTTTGCTTCAGTTTATAAAGATGTTATGTGATTAAATGGTTACAGAAACCATTCAACTTCACTCATGACAGTCTTTCTGAAAATAATTCCTGAAGACATATTTTTCTCTTTATAGAAGACACAAATACTTCTTCTTCCTCTGGTTTTTTCTTCCTAGACAGTTGGCATCCAACTTGAAGCTGCAAAAGTTAGAATGAAACAGAGTGATATTGGCTGAAGTTTGCAAGCTTTTCTGTTCCCAAAGTGTTCTCACGAGGTTTTTGATTTTTGGCAGCATTGTTTGGTGTTGGACGCTGTGTTGCTATTTGCCGTCACTATGGCTGGTGTTGTGCCAAAATTTGTCCTCCCTAACAAAATAGTGTCCTCAGCATGTGTTGTTATTATTACAAGTAAGTAATCCCAGAGAAACAAGAGCTTGATAGGTGACTTGTCATAGTGTTAACTTCCTTGTCGGATTAGTAGATTGTTGTAGGAGCGGATCTAGAGGGGTAGCATATAGGTAGGTCTCCTAATAGTCGGCAAAACTGTTGTGGGTGGTGCTGTGAGAGTCCAAACCAAACAAGATGTCTTCTAAGATGTTTTTTCCATTTAAATGTACCATCATTAGTTATTTGTAGACTCTATATTATAAGCCAAGCATAAGTTTGTCTTCGTATTAATTAACAAACCTGGATTGTGACAGAACCGAACCAAACCACCACAAAGACTTCACTGTACCAAAAGGCTAAATTTAATCCTGGACGAGCCCCCGATTTGTTGTTGTTGGTTTTGTTGGACAAAACTAAATAAGAAAAGACGGTAAAGACAGAATAAATACAACATAACCAACAAGGGTGGAAGCCAGGGGAGATTGGACGACTGGCTGATTGCCTCCAGTTTATATAGTCCTGCCACCAGATCTGAATCTCCCCACAATGACCCGACTGCAGCCACCAGGCTCTTGGAGGAAGAGTCCTGCTCAGACGGCAATTTACGGTGGAACATTTGCATCTCTAATTGATAAATTGGGTGAAAAGTGGCAAAGGAAGCCAACACAGAAATAACAAAAACTGCAGTTCCTCTAACGAGGATAATCTAATCTCCATATTAAAATGCCCAACTTTACAGCAGAAATAAACATGTTTACAGCCTGGTACAAAAGCAGATTTTGGTCTCTATAGATAAATTTCCCGTTGTTGACAACAGTAACTCACTTTTTAAAATTATATTAAGGCTTAAAGTTATGCATAATTAAGGACATGGCCCTTTTGAGCGACGGTGGAGGGTGCCATCACATGCGGCTGTTTTCAGTAGCCAGGTTTCATTCAGCTGCACGTCTTTGACCATTTTTGGATTAACCGGGAGCCAGCACAGTCAGGACTTCCGAGATGCAACGACCAATGCCACGGCACTTGGAGCTTCAAAACTTCAGAAACTTATGGGTGATGTTACACAGACTACAGCTATTTTTAATCATACAGTCTATGGTAAAAACATGCAGAAAGTCACAGTGTTTGTTCTGTGTCACTGCTTAATGTTTTATCTAAAAGTCATCAAAACCCCATAATACTGACGTTAGAGAAACTGCAATTTTTATCTCAAAGCAATTTCAGGAATGCATTTGAAGAGAGAGGAAGTGACCTTCGGACCATCTCCTCGCTCATGATGAGTATAATGAGAGCAACGTGCCACAGGGCTCACCCTGCTCCACACTGGCAGTCTGTTTACAAAACCAGGCCTCAGAGCTGCTCATTTCCTACACTGGGGTAAGATAACAGAGGCTGAGGAAGTTCCTCCTGGCAGGATCATGGTGCTTCCAGAGATTAGGCAGAAAATAATTGGTGTGTGAAGGCAGAGAGGTTGAGAAGTTACTTGAGGATTGTTAAAAGCTGCTGTTTAAAACTCAAAACAGAGAGGAGTGTCCATAATAATACAATTGTGGATGAACTCATCTTCAACTCTCAGCTGCAGAAAATGTGTTTTTCTCAGTAATCATGTGGACAAAATAAGTCCAGTCTGCCCAACCTGAAGTCTAATGGCTCCCGAACTGACACCTGGGTGGTCTGCTGGGTCGGGAGTCACAAGTTAAAACTCAGAACCAGCCGCTGTGTGTCCATAAACAGCCATTTGTCTTGGCAATGTGCCTTTTCAGTAAAATCACCACCTGCTCACTCACTCAAAGCCGCTCTGGATGATGCATTGAAATGACTGTGTAAACATCAAACCTCCATCAGTAGGACGAAGAGACATCAGCAGCCTTATTTTTCAAGTTTAGCCGACTAAAACTACTTGGATGAGGTAAATGATTAAATCGACATTACCATTGGTATGGGATGTGAACTCAGACACATCCACTCATCCTCTGGGATCTAGCTGGGAATGCACCGAACATCACACCACTTCCTGCTATGCCGCTGAAAGTAATCATGGGTTATTTTAAACCAGTTAAACAAATGATAGCTGTTTTCTGCTGAGTACAGTCTCCACTATCAGTCTTTTGCTGCTGCTGCTGTTTAACTCTAAGGAATGAGGAAATGTTGTAAAATAGGAAGCTCTGTCTGAATATTTTGCACTTGTGAGGGCTGTGGCTGTTCAGTCAGTTCCTGAGAGTCTTCAAACTCTTTTATTCACTCGATAAGTACTGAAACTCTTCGTCAATTGACAGAAAATTAATTTATTATTATTTTTCAAAGCAAAAATGTCAAACATTTGTCGGTTACAGCTTCTCAAATGAGAGGATTTGCTGCTTTTCTCTGTTTAACTTTCTACAAAATGAGTAATTTGAATATGCTTGGAAGTTGCAGTAGTGGAAGAAGTACTCCTTTATAAATACTTTGAAGTAAAAGTGAATTCAAATTTATGCTTTGGAGAAAGCACAGAAGTATTATAAACAGAAGCCATTATGTAGCCTGTTTTACATGATGTATAAATAAAGATTATTACAATTATCCACAGTGTCATATTATTATGGTATAATATACTGTATAATTCACATATATGTAAGAGCATTTTAATGCTGTAGTTTGTCAATCTGGAGCCAGTTTCAGATCTTTGATATATTATTGGATAGATTTAAAGTACAGTACTGCATTAAAAAGAACAATATTTATATTTATTGTATAAAGTGGCATAAAATGGAGTATTCAACTAGAGTACAGTACTTATGTGTCACTGTGAATTTGTGATTTTCACGACATTTTTTAGACAAATTGATGAATAGATTAAGAAAAATCTGCATATTATTTGATGATAAACATAACTGTTCAACTCTTCAACCCTAAATTTAAACTCTGTCTGTGTATTTTATCAGGATGATGCCGAGGGCCTGTACTGCCAGGAGCAGATCAACAGGTCAGACTTATTTACATACACATGAATTAAGCTATTAAAGATAATATCCTGTAATAATTGTTTAATGACTGCACTTCCAGGTCAATCTACTGGGCAGACGGTTACGTACTGGTTTTCTCCATCACAGACCACAACAGCTACCGCACCATCCAGCCGCTGTACCAGCACGTCAGACGCATACACCCCTCCGGAAACATACCTGTTATACTGGTCAGTGTGTGACTTTAAAACACAGCATAATCTGCCACAAAAAGGCCAATTTATATTTAAAAAAGAGATTATATATAAGGCAGAGGTGGTTTAGTTTCACTGTTAAGTTTGTTTTAAATTAATGTTGGCTGACTAAAGGTTATTTAAGTTTTTCCCTCCAGTCTTGAACAGACAACATGAGTTACCTACTAACCCTAATCCCCATAATCTAATCTATCCTGTAATCTGTAATCTGCTGCAGGTTGGCAACAAGAGCGACCTGCTCAGAGCCCGACAAGTGCCGGCAGACGAGGGCGAGACGTTAGCAGCTTCACTAGGTGAGGCAGCTTCCTCTTCCTGTTCTTCTTTCATTCTTCTTCACCATATTTTTATGATTTGTGATCGCCTTTCTCAGTGTTTTTACATGCCTCTGGATGTCAGCACCCTCTTTAATTGTATTTAAAATGCAGTATCACACACAAACAGGACTTGCCTTACTTGGCCAAAGTACAAAACATTTTTCTCAGCTTTAAAATGAGGTGTTTTCTTTATTATTATTTCTTTAAGCCTGCTATGACCTGCTCACCATTTCTCACTGATATTTTTTCCTTCCCTCTAGCTTTTTTGACATCATATTGTAGTTTCTTTTATTTATAACACAAGTTAATCTATCCTCACCTTCCCTTCATTCAACTCCACAACATTCAAAAGCTTGAAGATGTTTTGTTTTTGTACAGAAACTTGATCGTGCAAATGCAGCTCGCACAGCAGACAGAATTTCCCACAGTAGTCAATTTGTAAATGCATCTGGCAGATGTTGATTCAAGCTCCGAATGCTCCGTCCAATTATAACCAGGGCTGAGAAAATAAAAAGATCCTTTCACACACTTTCTCCCTCTCAACTATATCCTGCATGCTGCCTAATAAAAGAAGAATGCTGAGTATTATCTGAAAGATAAGAGCACAGCTGATCTGAAAACTGCCTCTGCTTACAGGAGGAGTTTACTTTGAGGCCTCGGCCAGAGAGAACCACGAGGGAGTCCACGGCGCCTTCCTACATCTCTGTCAGGAGGTGGGACTTCATGTTGTTGTTGTTAATTTATTGGTTTGTTATAAATTGGGGACAGCTTGAGCTCTTTTTTTGGCTTACATGTTTTTCTCATGAAGGCATTTTAGAGAAAGATATCAGGACATTTTGCACCAACAAACTTTCAGGAATTTTCACTTCCTGTGGAATTTTACAGACCATTTCCCATAAAATAAAATAAAAATAAAATAAAAAATACCACATGTTTATCTCATTGGACAAAAAGAGGTATACCAGCCAAAATTGCTCTGTTCTGTATATTTGCTTTTCTGGTAGAGTAACAAGAGTTTTTGCCCATTACATTTGGGTTTGTTTAGACCACTGGCTCCACATCTGGGGATCGGGGCTCTCAGTAGGGGTCTTCTTGATTTTACAGGGTTCCCACACATCCTGGAAATTTACTAGATATACTAGATATATAAATAGTTTAATAGCATTGAAAGTATATATAATGAACAGAGCTTCCAGGTCTGAAAAGTGAAGCCAATGCTTAAATATGAGACTGTGTGTGACCAGACGAGCCACCATTGTTTCCTGCGCAGTCAATGAACTCACCTCAACTTACAGTACGTCACCTGCGCTGGCTCCAACATGGCCGTAATGCCAAATTTGAGACTTCAAAACAAACAACAAACAAATAAATTCTACTTGATTTGAACAGTTACTTCTGGGCTGTGGCCATAATTTTATGTTGAGAGGAAAACTGTTACCTACAGGTAATATAGGTGACCTCTATTGTCAATAAAAACTGGTTTCTTAAAAAGAGTTGGAGACCTGTTTTATACAGTATGCTGGTATCCCAGCATTTCATTCAATTCTGTGAAGAAAACTAAATGATGAAGTTATTATTTTAAACTTAATTCTTACCTTAACTCAAACTTTGAACATTTTATGAAATACGGGTCAGCGGCCTGATGTGTATCGATTTGGAGCTCACTGACACCAAAAAGGTTGAGAACCACTGCAGTAGAGTGTAGAATGTTATAGTAGTCAGTGAAATCAGAAGCTAACATGGTTGAAATTGATTATTCCTACAACAATTTTCTGACTTAGTTTGAGATTTGACTTTTAATTTTTTTTAATGTAAATAGAGACGTGATATAAGAGTTGCCCCTCAAGACCGAGTCACAGGTTTTATTTCAGCGAGTCACTGTGTTCTCTGTGTTCCAGGTGATCCGGGTGTTGGGAGGAGGAAACGGGGAGAAGCGAAGAGGAGGCCTCCACCTGGCCAGACCCAAATCTCCCAACATGCAAGAGCTGAAGAGGAGGTTCAGGCAGGTCCTCTCCTCCAAAGTCAAGTCGGCCACAACTCTCTGATTGTAGGATTCGACCGAGAACGTAAAGCAAAGATAAGAGCTTCCATGAAGATAAAGAGGTTCTAGTCCTTCTTTGATGGTAGGCTGAAGACAAAGAGGCCTTGATATTGAAGACTTATGACTTATAGGTTTGGGAATTGAAGCCGTTAATGGCATTAAAAGACATGGCTGACCATTTCTGTTGCGATCAAAGCATTTTAACAGATCACAAGCGGTCGTCCTCAGACAAAAGCTGAATGGAGCTTTCTGGAAGTGAAGCACTTCAATGTTTTTTGGACAAAGCTCATGGTCAACATGACCTCATCCCAGGCTTAAGTACAACAAGGATGCTGCTCAAAGGGAACATGTCAAAGACTGCTAAACAAACAGCTTGTGTTGTGTCAGAAACTTGGCTTGTTTACCATGCAGGGCTGTGACTGTGACAGGGTCACCGTAAACCCTCCGACAGTTCAGTCTAATGTCTCAGTTTTCTTGAGGCTGAAAAATCACTCTCAATACATCACGATAAAAGCGATTTTAAAACATTAATTAAAAGAATTTACTTCATGGAACAACAGTTGTTTGATGTCCTGTCATATGATATGGAGATTCATTTTACCCCTACTTGTTACAATTGCCTTTATGTCGGTTTTAATTCAGATTTTCCTTGTCTTTTTTGCAACTAAATGAAGCTCAAAAGACTCCATTTTGTTAATCCACGTGAGAACAATCCCAGATTTCAATTTTGCTGATACCAAATAAATAAAATGTAAGCCTGCATCCCCTCGGTTTCAGACTCAGAGTCTTATTGAGAAAGTAGTCTGAACCCAAAACAGGAAATGACCCCAAAGCACAAACGTTTGAGGCTCTGCACTGAGACTAATTCTGACATTCGACAGGAAAGGAAGCCTAGCACAACAAAACAAAGCAAGGTCAAACTCCTGGCATTTATGGAAGTCTATGGCGGCCAATAATAAAATGGAATCATTTCATCAGATTGAAATTTTTGTTTCCATGTGTGCACAATCTTTATTGACAAGTAAGTCCAGAGGATAACCTTGATGTAATGAATGATCAATGAATGAATGATATATAAAATTGAATGTAAAATGTTTTAATTTACATTTTAAAATCATATCAAAATGATGGTTGCTGGTTGAAAAGAGGACAAAAAGAGACGTTCAGAGCGAATATCACTCACTACTTTAAATAGGGATGTCACAAGAACCGATACTTCGGTACCAACTCGATGCCAAAGTTCTGAAAACGTTACGATGCTTGTTTTATTCTACAGCACCGTAGGTACTGGGGATCCAGTTCTTCCCGACCTGATGGGAAACTACCGGAACAGTCCAGTGACAATCGCACATGATCTGCAGATCACAAAGACAGACACTCTTTGGCACATTTTACAAGCACGGACCAAATAAAGACCAGAGTGAACAGCAGTAAAAACAACAGCTGGTGCCTATGTCATTCGGTACCACGTTGGTTTTGATAGTTTAGTCAGGCTACGTCATGAACAACAAACCTCTTTCACACGTGGCTACCTGCTGTTGTTAATACAGAATCACAACTTGTGTTTTTTGGCCGACTTTATGAGTAGGTGTGTGTGTGTGTGTGTGAGTGGAAAAGAGTACTGAAGGGAAAAGCAAGGTGAGCCGATTAAAGTAATTTGTGAGTTAAGGGGCCACTGTTGTTATTTTTTGTAATGTTCAAATGTGTGTAAGATGAAGTACACAGGCTTTATTCTTTTGTTTTTTACAGTGGTATCGACTTGGTATCAAGAATCAAGGTATTTTACTGGTAATAGTATTGTGACGTCCATACTTTTAAACTAAAATACATGTTGAAATCCTGGTTGGTGCTCACTGGGTCTGGCCATATCTTACACATACCAGCTTTAATAATATTGGCAGCCACATATTCAACTGTTTATTCACGTGTTTTCACTGGTATGAACACCAGAGTCGATTAATGTTTGGCTAAAGTTTAAGGAGCTGTAATTAGACTTGTTTTAAACCCTCAAATTCATCACCAAAATCTCTATAATCTGGCTGGGTGACAGGTTGCCAAAACTCGCTCCAGTACAATCCTCATTTACGAGCACTAGTTTGCCTATAATTGTGACAAAGTAAACTTTTCCACTTCAACTCAGCCCAAATAATCCAAACTCTAGCTGTCAAAGCTCCTTTAATGGCTCACAGTCTGAAGAGTTTCTCATTTCTATTGTGTTTGTTTTAGGAAGGTTTTTAGTGTTCAGTGGAGTTCATGCTGCTCAGTACAGTATCCAGTAAGTCCAGAAGTTACAGGTTGATGTAACTGTAAAATACTACAGTGTCTGTAAAGAGCTGGGAATTGGTTCAAGTATTGTTTTGTGTGTGTGTGTGTGTGTGTGTGTGTGTTTATGCTGTTCTCATGACCTCTACACACACAAAATTCCCAGTAAAGACAAATTCCTCAGCATCTGGAATTTCTTTCTTGGTCACTGAACTGCCACTTTAACCCTTTTGCACACACAAACACACACAAACACACACACTTGTCACACACAAAATTGTCTGCTGACCCTAACTCAAGACCTTTTTGCCCTTTGACCCTTAAAAGCAGCAGGGCTCCATCAGTGTCTGGAAAAAAGGTTGAGATACAGCCGTGTATCGAGGCAAAAAAAAAAAGATGCCATTTGATAAATGCCAAGACAAAAATAAACAACGTGTGTGAGTTTGTGAAAGGGAGAGAGAATTTTCGGCTTCTTTAGGTCAATTTCCTTTTGAGACACAACTTCACTTCTTTCACACACACACTACGTCGCTCTTAAAGACGTCCTTCCTGTGTGCCACTGGAGCAACTGATCTGAAGTGAAGAATTCCTCCCTTTTTTCTTCCTCCAAGCCAACAATCTGTTTCTAACATGGGCGTTAAATGTGAGTTTATTTGATAGATGAAGAGTTAATGTGACGTTTATGAGGCCGGATTTAGAAAACGGAGCATCCACTAAGTGTTCCCTTTTTCGGTAAAGAAAAAAGAGAGCCGAGCTGAACTTCTGGGTTCTGCTTCAAAAGCAAGAAAATCGAAATAACATTGACATTGTCACTAAATAGCCAGTTCTCACAGTATGTCATGCAGTTCACCACATTTTGTCCAGACAGGCTTTGGTTTTGAGATGATCACGATGCTAGAAGGCCAAAGACATCAAATCCATGCAGGTATTTAATCAAAAGCCAACCTTTTGGACTTTCAACCTTCATCAGGGGGAATGTTAGAGCTTATAATGACAATCAAACAGAGCACACCTGTGCTTATTTATGCGAGAACACATGGAAAAGCGGTTCCCAACTGTAGCTGGCCGCATACATAAGATGCTTCACAGACAAAACACTTCATAAAAACTGAGGATAAATCAATACAGAAAGCAATCAGTATTTCAAAATAATACAAATATGGATCTGACAGATATATTGCACATTGAGAAAAGGCTTCATAAAGAATGTAAGATAGATACAGATGATTCATTGTCCTCCATAGAGGGAATTTGTTACACCCACAGAGAGTAAAGTGCAGCAGAGACCACACCATTTATAGCATAATGCTCATATTAAAATGAACATTTCAGGCCCACAATGTTTGTATTCAGTGCAGTTCTCTTTTAACCTTGCGAGGCAGCTGCACATCACATGAGAATCCATCTTACAAGGCTTCAATCTATGCATCTGTAGCCAGTACAACAGTACCAGACCAGTCAGCGTCCTTTGAGGAAGTACAGGCAGCTACAGGTTGCCTTTTTTCTTTTCCCCCTAGGATGGCAAAGTTATAACCCGCCCTCCTCTGCCTCTGATTGGCTTATCCTGACATTCATGCTTCCCCTAAGCCAGTGGTTGCCAATGTTTTTCCTTAAGGGACCCTTTTTCTGTGAGTAAACTGACGACTTAGTTAAAAAATGTATAAATAATCATATTATATTCAAAACTGTTCAATTGACTCAAACAGTGAAGAAGTTTGTGTAAAACGAGTGATTTGGATGAATTTTGAGCAGATATGCAATTATCAAATCATACAGACTTAATAGTCTTCTTTTCTGAAAGATTCTGTGTTTTCGTGTCCCTGGCGCTTGGCCATTATTCTATTAGACAATTTACTTACTTACTCTGTATATTTTCATTTAATTTTATTACACGCCTTAAAATCAACAAGGCCTCCCCGTGAAGCTTTGACGACCTTCAAGTTGGGAACCACTGCCCTCACCAATCTTGCTCCTCACACCTAAACCTAACCAACCCAACTAACAAAGGCAACAAGTAGTGGCCAGTCAGAGGCAGAGAAGGGCAGGTCATGACTTCGCCAAACTAGGGAAAACAAATTGAGGTTAGCATAGCTGCTGCTAGCATGAGTTACATCAGAACTGAAGAGTATTTATTCATTGAAAGAAGAGCAAAGAACGGCACTGAAGGCTTTTCTCGATGGACTTCGGGAAGAGTTTGCCTACATTATACGGTTTGTTGATCTGGTTGAAGTTCGCTCCTGAAAGACGGTGACAGACAGATTTATGAAAATGTCTGCCCTTTTCCAAACAGTTTCCAACAACGACTTCCCCAAAATTTGGTTCTGTGTAGCCCAAACAAGACTTAAATTTTTGTATGTATGTAGGCAGGCAATTGATGAAATACACAGACAGCTAATCAACAACCAGCCAAGCAAACCAAACGCCCCACAAAAAAAAAAAAAAAACCATGTGGGCTGTTCTTGTTCTGGTGACCACTAATGGGAAAGCACTTCCATCAACAACCGCAAGTGTGGAGGACATATAACCAGCTGTGTGTGTGTGTGTGTGTGTGTGTGTGTGTGTATGTGTGGTAATGGCTTGTTCTGTTATCTACAGGAGGCGGCAGGAAGTTGAGGTCCCGTCTGGGATGAAGTCAAGGCCTCAAATCCAGAGACAGGAAGAGAGACAGAAAGGAAGAAAGGTTGTAAGAAGATCTAAGACTTTAGGAAGTAAGACAAAATATGAAATAAATACAAATGATGATGAAAAAGAAGAGAGAATGAATCACAATCTTCCCATTGAAGAGATGGAGGGGGTTGGACAGAAATAGGGAGGGAGAGGGAAGAGAGGAGATAACTAGTGTTGAAGGGAGACAAAGTCAGAGAGATAAAAATGAGACAGAAAAAACATAGAAAGAGGAACATTATCAGCTTCTGTCCAGACATAAAACAAATTAACATGTCAGCTTTCAGCAGAAGCTATCAGCAAGAGACAAGATGCTAAATGTTCGACTCCCCAACACAACAATGGCGTTATGAGTGACAGCTAAATGCTGCTGTGAAAGGCCAACACTGCTCTTTGGTGATAAATATCAAGAACATTAATGCTCGATGATTCAAATCTGCAAAGAAACAAATTACAGTGACACACCTAGAGACGCAGAGATGAGACTTAAGTCCTACAACCAAGGACTTGAGATTGGGACTTGGGATAGGGGGGCTTGTTATAGTGATTTTTCAGCATTCAGAGGTTCGAAAGACTTGCAAATGTCTAAAGATTATGAAGACCTATGACTTGACATGGACTTCCTTCAAAAGACAACAAGTTACCTCAACCAATCATCAATACCTTCAATTCATACAACTGTTTTCTGATTGACCATCTGTAGCCGCATCTCACGACCATTCTGCTTAATGAGTACTTTTACACTGATACTTGAAGTACTTTTTCTTGCTAATACTTTCATACTTTTACTAAAGTCATTTTGAATTTTGGATTTTTACTTGTAATGACGTATCTTTTACTTCTTAAGGTTCTATATATGATATTTACTGCCACTAAATGTTGCACTAGACCAGTGTTGCAGTCAAGACCACCCTTGTCTAGTCCAAGATCAGAATCGAGATCAAGTCAATATCGAGTCCACAGAGGGTGGAGTCCAAGTCACGATTTAACCAATGTCAATGCCGCTCTAGCTGGATTTCGACCAAAACCAATGACCAGTGTGCTTCATCAATGGGTTTGTTTTGAAGGATGAAGTTACTTCAGAAAATAATATATATATTGACGGACTCTGTCGAGACCAACTAATGTTTGGAGGGCCAAGTCCGAGTGCAAGTACGAACGAGTCCAAGACACATTAGAGTACAGAGTATTACAGCACTGCATCTCAAAACGAAACAAATGGTTGCTACTCCCACCAGACTCCATTGAAAATAAACTCTAATTTTACCTTGCCCATCATCATAAAACACCCTTCATTCAAACTGGACAAACAAACAAAAATAAAACTCAACAAACTGTCTTTCTTTAGTCTTTCCACTGTTAATCATCACCAGCTCTGGTTTGGGGCAAAATTAGCACATAATTCATTGAGTTAGACTTTCAAAAAGTTTTCATCCATTACTCCACTATATCTATACATAGCAAAGTTGTGTGCTGCTATAATAAAGCTGGGGTCAGTCATTCTGGGAAAAGAGTCTCATTCCCAGTTCGTCTAATATGACGCTTGAAGATATTTTGTCTGGCAATCCAAGTGGCAAGTGTCAGTATTGGACAACCTGAGAATGACCCTCAACAATCAAATATCTCTCTCCACAATGAGTGACCCCACCTTTAATGTTCAAAATATCATTTATATTCTCTTTAAGTCAATGATTTACTTCACCACTGACTCTACTGCTGTCATCAGACTCTTTTGGCCTCTTCCTCTCATTTCTGGCTTAATGGCTGTAAGTATATAGTTAATGCATGAACAATATCTGAGGTCTGTCTCTATTTTTGGCTCCAAAACTCCCAGTGGGCAACCCATTTAGCTTCCCATTTCCCCTCTCGCTCCCCTGCCTGCCCCTTTTCTCATTCTTCCCATCTTCATATAGCTT